CAACAGCTTAGTTTCCACAAGATACTGTTGACATCGAATGTAAAATGCAAATTTGTGCAGCTAAATTGCATTTGTTACTTTTAAGGGTGCTACAGTATGAATTTTTTGTTTCCTTGTTCAGCTTGCACATACAAAAGCCAGGAGTGCCGTTTGACCATCCATTATGAACATGGATTCTCTCTTACAACTGAACCACAAGACGGTGCCTTCTCTAAGACAATTGCACAGTACCCCTATGAAAAACTGAAAATGTCCTCAGATGATGGGATAAGGATGCTTTATTTAGACTTTGGAGGAAAAGATGGAGAAATTGTAAGTAGTGCATTTAGCAGGGGGATGCACATCACCATCTCTTTGGTGGTCCCTAAGGCTGTGGAGGTGGAACAGCACTAACAGGAGTAGGCCAGTGTGGTTCCAATAGCAATATGTGGGTAGAACTGAAGAATGAGATGTTGTTAATAATTTCAGCATGCATATATGTACTTCATCTAATGTGACAAGCTATGGCTTAGACACTTTTCAAAATCTAATTGTGGGAAAAAATGGGGACTACAGATGTAGTGCAAACCGTCTGCTTAACCCTTAAAGTTAGCTGTCACGTAACCTAGAAATGTTTATTCCTACAAACAGTTTAGATACCATTAATTATATTTGCAAATATGTTTTTTTCTAGCCAAATCTTCTAGTGGTTCCAGAGCTTATTGGCTGCTCAATTCTTTATATCACCTTTGATAATATACATTCTGTAAAGTGCTTATTCTCAGCCTGTTGGAGCAGCCATGTACAGTCAGGTCATGGTACAGGATTTTGGCTTCAGCAGTGACCAAGAGCAGATACTCAGGGAAAAGTATGAGGAGAAGGTACTGGACACAGCAGTCACACCACCATCCCTAGTCAGAAACAGAGTCTGAAAATATGGAGGGTTTGAAACTCTTAGAAAAGGGCTTACAGCATTGGAGTCAATGTTAGCTGCTTACCCAGGTGGATGTAAGCCCAGGGGCACATGGATCTCATCTGCTCTCAACACACTTCTTACTTCCTTAGTGACTAAAATATTTGCAGCTGCATGCAAAGAAAAAACAGTATGTTGTAATAAAGGGTTGTTATTAATAGAAGTCTGTTGAAAATAGCAGACAGCAGTTAATGTAGTAAACGCTCCATAAATTACTGGTTGCTTGAGCTGTAATCTAGTCTAATTATTTTCAACTTGATTTCTTCCTTTAATTTCAGCAACTGGACCTTCATTCCTGTCCAAAACCAATTGTGTTCATCATTCATTCCTTCCTGTCGGCTAAGATTACAAGACTTGGTTTGGTGGCATAAATAGGATACACACATCTGTTTCTTCAAAGAAAAGTGGAGCAACCACACTCATCTGAAGTACAGTCATCATTGGCAACCTGTAGCAGCAAGCAGCCTGCACCAGACTGGGGTTCTATCCCAGTCCTTGGTCATTTCTGTCAACCTTTCAAGGCTAAATTATGATCAGCTGAAGAGGTAGCATGACAAGGAAAACAATGTAAATAGTGGGATTTTAAAATCCCTTAGCAGACAGTAAAAGAGTGTAGTACCGTATGTGTAAATATTTCAGAATCATAAATCGTGCTTATTTCAGTGTGCTGGCTGATACAGAATAAGTAAAGGGCTAAGCAGAAAGGAGTGGGCATTGGCTGTGATGCAAACTCACGGTTCTTTGAGTGGAATTTCTATAAACAAGATTGTCCCAACGCCTAGAAGTCACATGTTGGTTCTTCTAACCTTTACACCACTTGCAGAATTTCTTGTGAGAAGCCATCAGAACATGTTGCTGCACACCCAGCAGAGCATGCAGAGAGCCTCTGTGAGTAGTGTGCTCCACAGCTGAGGTGGTCAGTGACCAGCTGCACAGTCCCTGCTGAGGGGTCCTTTCAAGTTAAATGATGGAGACATCTTGTGTACATTCCTAGTGATGGATCTGATCAGTGCTACCTGTAGGGAAGGCAGCAGGGCATAGGCAGGAGGGGAGCATCCTCTGTATGGACACATGGGATGTGCTTTCATGGTGGCTTTCCAGATGATTCCAATGACCTGGAGCTTCATCTAACAGGGTTCCCAGGCTCAGGTAAGAGATATCCAAATCCAATGGGACATGTGACCTGATCTCCTCCAGCACGTTCCCACTTCAATTTTCCAGCAGGAAGCCAGGATAGGTCATACTAGGAGCTTCCCATCCTCCTCCTCCAACTTTGTCAACCCCTTAGCTCTGCCAGGTCTGGTTGTATGGTCTTGATTTTGCTTATTTGCAAGGAGGAAGACTTTCTTTTGCAGGAAAGTTGCTTTTCTTTGTGAGACTGTGTTCAACTAGGTCCTGGAACTACTCATTTGGCTTCACGTAGTTGGGTGGGAATAGAAGCAGAATAAACTGCTTTTACATTGTTCTTAAATTGTTAACCTAACAGCTTCATGTTGAGTTGCTTTTTGTTTGCTTTTAGAGTTTTGCCCTTAATTCACACTTTGAAGGACAGGAATTATGTAGGAAGTAATCAGAAGTTGCAGAATTTTGCTTGTCATATTACATCTGTCTTATTCTTCAGAAAGCCAATGAGTTTCAGTGTAACATCACTTGGCTGGCAAAGAAGAAGACTTCGTACCCAAACACAGTTTGGTTCCATGTTGCTCTTAAGCTAAGTCCTGGGATTTAAATGTCATAGTGCTTATCACAGGGTAGGAATTAGATTGTGGTGGATTCCATAGGTATCTTAACCATCAAAGCTAATTGAAAAATTAAGACAACAGGCTGAATTTGCAAATAGTGAAGACAGCTGCTTCAGAACAACAGCTACATTGACATTTGGAACAGCAGCCCTGCTCCCAGTGCCTCTCTCCACTGAAAAGTCTGAAAGTGATTTACCTATCTGTGAACTTTGTTTTTACTGTCATGGTACGTGCACATAAAAATTAATACCTTGTGTAAAGTCACAAGTTAGGAGCTATGTTGCATAACTTATCTATAATTTCCAAATGCACATTTCTCTCATTGCTAATGCTGCCATCCTCATATCCCTCTGCAGCAGTTATTTGATTCTCCTTTGCTTGGAAGCTTCTGGGATAGCATCTTCTGAGAAGCTGCGAGCAGTCGGTATGCTGGAGGCTGGGGTTTTGGATATGAACTCGGATCACATTGTCAAGGAAATTGTTGTGTGATGGTTTTAAAAGGTCATTCAGGACATTGTTTGCAAAGTATTTCATTGCTGTTTCAGAGCATAACTTAAAAATTTGAACGTAGGCTCCTATAAAGTTCCATAGGTTAGAGTGAGAACTTGCATTTTGTGGGATAGGTTAAAAGCATATGTACTGCACTATCTCCTTATTCCTTTAACATTTACAAATCACTGGAATGTTATACTTAACATGTACGTGCATTGTAAATATTTCAAATTCCTATATTAGTACCAACAATGAAATTACACAATATGTAATCTAAGGTGCTCAGTACTATATGAAGTATAAGTGAATAACTAAACAGTTTGCAAAGAAAGTTCCTATTATATATATTTATAGAAAAAATAATGATAATTACAGATGCTATTTCTTCATTTTCAGATTTTGGACTGATTCATATTTGGATGGGATAGATAAATGAAATACGGACTTACTCCACATTTATAAGAGTATAGTGAATATTTATATTTTAGAGGAAAAGAATATATTTAATAAAGTCATTTATTGGATTTTTTGTGAGGTGAGCTTACTTCGTACCCAAACAAGCCGCGTAGAAGGTTGTCTTTTGGTTTGAGGCTGGGGAAGAGATTTCTAAATCTCAATTGTTCTAAGTTCAGTTACCTGAAAGAACTATTCATTACATTGATAGAGTATTGACTTTGACTTGCATTAATTTCAGCAAGTATTAATGCAGTATCAGTGGCACATTGCTTATACTTAACTGGGCTGTCACAGCAGTCATGAAATACCTCTGCTCAGCCCCTTGCCTTCAAGGAGCAAGGCCAACAAATGCCTTGCTTTGTTCTTAGGATGGTTATGGAAAAAAAGAACATTTTCCTTCCCCTTTGTATTAATTCTTAACCTAGTGGCCCAGATAGCCAGCTGTGAGGCTGTAAGCCTGTTCTGCCAGTGTTACACAAGACATAGCACAGCAGCCTCACTGAAATCCTAAAATGGGGTCCTTCTGGAGTTTCACCTTTTTCCAAAATAAAGTTTTTATAGAAGCTTCCCCATTAGAAATACTTGGATACATATTGCAACATATATGTTATTGGGAAAACGGAGATACAAGGTGCTTATTAAAAAATAAGTGAAAATAAAGCTGATCTGCTTCTGGTCAGGGAAGCATAGTGGTGTGAAGAGTCCTGCTCTTTAACGAGAACCAGCATCTCTCTTCAGGTACTTCATAAATCAGAAACAACTCTGAATGCACTACCAAGTAAATTGCTGTCATGAGTATCATCAGACTTTGTCTTCACCAGGTAACGAGTGTTCTCTTTTTATGAGAGGTAAATAGCCCTTCTTCCCACAGGCCATGGAGCTCACTGCAGCTTGCTCTTCACATCCCAAAGTGCAGCTGACTGCAAGTGGAGGTTGCTCAGATTTAACAGCAGCACAAGGACATGGAGCTGTTGGAGGAGGTCCAGAGGAGGGCCACAAAGGTGATCAGAGGGCTGGAGCACCTCTCCTATGAGGGCAGGCTGTGAGAACTGGGAATTTTCAGCCTAGAGAAGGCTCCGGAGGGACCGCATAGTGGCCTTCCAGTACCTGAAGGGCTCCTCCAGAAAAGCTGGGAGGAACATTTTAGAAGGACATGGAGCAACGTGATGAGGGGAAACAGCTTAAAAATAGAAAAGGGTGCATTTAGAGTACATATTAGGAAGAAATTAGTTACTGCGAGTGTGGTGGGACACTGGACCAGGTCATCCAGTAAGGTTGAGGATGCCCCCACCCTGGAAGCATTCAAGCCCAGGCTGGATGGGGCTTTGAACAACCTGATCTAGAGGGAGGTGTCCCTGCCTACAGCAGGGAGTTGGAACTACATGATCTTAAAGGTCCCTTCCAACCCAAACCATTCTATGGTTCTGTGATCTATGATTTCCATCTGCAAAGAAAGTTCTCAGTGTTCTCTTAGCCATGTTTAAAACCTAATTAGTACTGCTTTGGTTTACCTCAAAGCACTCTGGATTGTTACACTATTGTTGATTTGTAAATTTTTTTTTGCTTGTTTTGTTTTTTAAGAGGCAAACAGAAGTTTCTAACTAGCCATCTAGTGAGGCTATTTTACCAGAAAGTAACAAAAAACATAAAATAATTGGTAATTTTTAACAGGAGGTTATACTAGCAGAATTTCAGGAAACTCTCATCTTGCCTGATATAAGCAAATTAAACTGTTTGAAATTAAACTGTGAAGAAAAAAGTCTCCACCTCCTGTGAACACATCAGTGCTGTTCCATATCAGACAGCCATTCAGTTTGTTTACTTCATCAGAACTTCTGTGCTTGTTAAATAATGACAGAGATTAGAAAACAACTCCCAAGAAAGAACTGTTTGTTAAGTAATCATCTCACCATCACCATATCAGATTTGTTTTACCCTGCTCTTCTGTAAGCACATAGCATGGTTGTGGATAGACACTACTTATGTTGATGACTTACATTTTGATGTGCAGAAACATGACAGCAAATATCTAAGGCTTATGCAGCAAAGTGTGTGTAGGTCAGACTAGATTCTGGGTTTCTCTTCCATAAACAAAAATTGTGAAGTTCAGAGGCATAGTGATATTACTTTCCATATCACAAAAGTTACTGCACAGCAGTCATGCCACAGGAAATCTTAAATGTGGGGATTAAAAAGTATGGTACTTGCAAAATAGTTTGTTTTAGTGCTGTAATTGTAGGCCAGAACAAATGAGCTTGTGTACTTTTTGTAGGCTAAGAGCAGGCACAGGGACAGTAATCACAGCTCAAATGGGGCACAGTGAGTTATTAAGCCATCATTATGAACTAGCTATAAACAAAACAAACCAACAACGTAATAATGAAGTGAAAATGAGACATGGGCAGTACTGTATTAGTTTAGTATTGGAATCATGCAAACAAATGATCCATCAAACTGCTCATAGTTCCCTAACTGCATTCCTGTTGATTGTTTCAGGCTGGCCTCGAGTCTACAGAATTAATTTAATTTCAATTTAATTAACTGCTCAGTTCTACTTGCTTATGAAGTGAGGTAGCACATAAAGCCAGGGCTCACTGTGTACACTGTAGAGAGGTAAGGGAGGAATGAGGGGAAAAAAATTCTGTTCTGAACTGTTTCTAAGAATTGTTAGCAAGACTACACATGAAATTTTACCAGAATTTCAGGCTTCTGAATCTTCTGATTCTGGCATTAATGCACCTTTTTTGGGACCTTTCATCAAATCCCAGAAGACATGCTTTTTTTTCCATCTATTACAAAACATCTATTCAAATTCTAATTGTTTTCAGTTTCAGAATAGGAACTGTTGTCAGCTACAGTATAAAACATCAAAGGTCCATGCTTTAAACAGTTTTATTCAGTATATACAACAGCAAGTAGTAATAAATAGAACAGAGGCCTTTGTGCAAAAGGTAGAACAAAGTGGTCCCATTATGAAAATTAGATCCAGCATTTTTTGTTTTAATTCACAGTAAAAATACACCCATTGAAAAACATACAAAGCCTTATAAAAAACAAGCCAAGCTGTATTCTTCTTAATAATAAAACATAATAAATAACATATAAGATAAAGCCTTTCTCACTTGATTTAAGAAATCTTTCAGTATAAAATGTTTCAAAAGATGCTGCTGTGTTTGAGAACTGTGACTGTGTCATTATACTGACCAAGTTCTTCTGGTGCTTGAGTAGGTGGTTGCATGTGTTACTCAGTATAATGTTTTTCCTGCAGTCAGAAGTGCTGTGTCTCTGCAGTGTCTACTTGCCAGTTTTCTCCAGAATCCATTCAATCACCTGGGGAAAAGAAATGAGAAAATTATTCCCATAGCTCTTGCTCTGAAGTTGTTTTCAAGAATATCTGACAAATATAATCAAATCTTCTAAATGGGATTTAGAAGGCAATCCTCCCAAAGGAGAAAGAGTCGTTAATAAGCTGAGAAGTGTTGCCCAAAAGTTGTATTTAATTCTAGAGAACTCACTGTCTTTAGGAAAAGGCGTTTTGAGATCCTGTGAATGAGTGCCTTCACCCCACAGTGTACATTCTTTCCATATATTCTGTAATACAGGGTGAGGTGGTCAGCAGACAAGATGCTGCTGGCAAAGAGGTTGGAATGCCCATGCACAAACCCAGCCTCTGGTCCCCCCGGACAAAGAGCAGAGTGAGAAAATGTGCTAGTTCAATATATTGTTCAAAAACAAACACCAAACCTACTTTGTTTTTGAAACCTTGTAATCTGTAGAAAACATTTCACAAGAGAACGCAGCACAGAACACAATACTGCCCTGGCAGAATAAAACCTGTGAGGATCTAGCAGTTGTACTCAAGAGTTTAAGGGAAGTTTATTCATTTAACTAACTCAGGTCAAATCCATACATTCAATTATGATTTTGAAAACAGTACTGTAAAAATACAAAGCTTTACCTTCTCCCCTCCCTTTATTTTTAATTATGAAGTAAATTCAGCATGCTTTCTGAAACCTAAAACAAAGTTACTTTGCTCTGTACTGCTGCTCATAGAAGTGCTGCCAGCACACAAAAAAACTCATCTGTCGTCACTTTCATTTACAGTTATTCCTAAGCTTAAAATTGTTAATTTTCTCTGCTTTTAAGAAGAAATTTACTTCCTGTGATAGATCTGTGTATGGCTTCCTTAACTTCAAAAAGAAATTTTATTTCCTTGAAGATACAGAAAGAAGAATTCCCCAATGATCCGCACTTCTCCCAAATGAAGAACATTTTCCTACACATTTTTTCTCAACCATAACTGAAGAAAAATAAACTTTTCCACATTTTTCACTTTGACATATCAGATAGGTAGTACTCCAGTTACAGCTACAAAAGTCATGAATGTATACAACTGGAAATTTTGCCATGGGACTAATGACTGGGAGTTTTTGTGGGATCAGAATGCAAAACAAGATCCACAGCCAAAGGAATGAATGTTTTTCCTCATCTCCTAAAGCTGTGGACCAAACCATCTGATAGCCTGGCCTAGTTAACTGAAATGAACACACAAACCAAGCAAATGCTCTTACCTGCTTAGCATTGTTACTTGCTGTTTTTTTCATTTCATCAAGAAGTCCTCTAGAAGTTTTAAGATCCTAAATATTAAACCACAAAGCCAAAAGATATTAGGATGCTCATCTTGTTATTAATTAATGATAACATTCAAAGTCCTTATTATCTCAAGAAACCTGACCTGTGGCACGAGCCCATTCTTAAAGCAAACACATAACATTGTCTGAAGTAAAACTGAGAACATTTATTTGCTTCTTGACTCCCAAGGAAAACACTATCTACAATATCATGCTTCTGAAGCACACAGAACAAAGTCGTACAGACCTGGGACTGCAAGACAGCTCAGAAGAACAAAATCCTAACACAACTGTCTTCTATGTCTACAGAACACGATCACTTCTGTTGCTCTTCATTCGCAAATGGAACCATGAACCCATCTGAATTCACTCAAGCATTACATGGTGCTGCCAAATCAGTATGTTAGGTAGCTGCACACATTTGCAGTGTGTTGACAAGAATTTCCATGAACACATTAGGGAACTGGATTTTCAGTGAATTGCATAAGCTACCTATTTACCCAGTAACTTTAGTACGAGGGAGAAGCTGAGCTGCCTGGTGAAGGACAAAGATTACTCAGCTTGACGTTTACTGAAATATTTCTTTATTTGTAATCACTGTTCTTTGTATCCTGACCAGCATGCAGTCTTCATTCTGACAGAAGAAATGTGATTCGTATTCTACAGTTTTATATGAGCAAAGGATGGTTTTCACTAATAGCTGCAATCACAGTTTGGGAAATACGCATAAGGGCAAAAGCATAAAGTAGCCTTATAAGGCTCACTATATCAGACCAAGGCACTAGAGCACTCAGGACAGCACTAAATTGATAATAAATTTGGAGACAAATTTATCTTGAGATATCACTAAGATAATCCCAGTACAAGATGTACAACAAACTGCAGGACAACATAGGATGCTAACATAACTACATCTACATCTTTAAATGATTAACATCTAGTCTTTAAACGATTAGCATGCTTAAGTTAGCCCACACGAACTTAACAGGTCCATACAGCAGTGTGGACATAAGGTAATTTGCATTCATTTGACACTCATTCCCAAGGGACTTGCATAGCAAACAAGGAAGTGAAGCACCATAGTTTTAAAACAAAACTGCTGTAAGAAAGTTGCCTTACTGGTTACTTCTCTGTCCCATAACCTTGTGGTTTTTTCCCCTGTGGCTTCTCTTCTAGTGTCTCCCAGATTCGCTATGCTTCCATAAAGCTGAGAGCAATTCTACTTACCACAAGTATCACCTCAGATTCTGAGAACAGAAACTCTATTTATACCTCGAGAACAGCCATAACTTACAGTGGCACACACATGATCTTATATGCTAGACTTGCTGAAGTAAGATGAATTAGGTGAAACTGAATTCATGAGCATTTCTTTGCTCATTAAAATAATGAGATAGTTATGGCTGGAAGATAGCCACAGTGGTAAGGAAAAACACAACCCTGCCTAAGAGCCCATTGCTTTAACACATTATCTAAATCTCATAAAAGACTGCTCCTCAGTAAGGTTTGAAAACAAACAGAACTACAACCACCAAAATATATTCACCAAAGACTAAAGGTTTATCCATATTCTACACACATAAATGACACAGCACTACGAATATTAGCACAATCAAACTGGAATACATCCATCCCAAGGTGTATTCAGGTACAGACTCATTCAACTAAGTGCAAAGTATTATAAGAAAATGTTTCCTAGTTACCTTTAAGTAAAACTTCGATATCTCGAATAGACGTTGGCTGCATGATGGAAAGCACTTGTGATCCTCAGCAATTCCATGTTTTTGTAGAGTCTTGGCTACCACCTCCTTCAGCATCTTGGAAACAATAGAAACACAAGTTCATCCCAATTTTTGGCATGAAAAACTGTCCAAAGAAAAATAAGTCACACTTGTTCTTTTTCATTCTTCCCAACAAAGATGGAGATACAAGAGTTGTACTACAGTGAGAAGGCTGGAAGACATCAGGAAGAATTTCTTCACAGGAGGGGTAATGCACTGGCACAGGCTGCCCTGGGAGGTGGTGGAGTCACCGTCCCTGGAGGTGTTCATGAAATGCGTAGATGTGGCACTGAAGGACATAACCATGGGACGTGGTGATGGGTTGGCGGTTGGACTGGATGATCTTAGTGGTCTTTTCCAACCTTAATGATTCTATGACTCAATGAAACTCGAAGAAACAAACAAAAAAACTACCCTAATCTTTTTTGCTCTTGTCTCTGCCATTAATGCACTGGACAAATGCCATCAACTCACTAACTACTCAGTTAGACGGAGTTATTTAACAATTTATTTCCATTTCCTTCAACTTAAAAATTAATGGAATGCTTACATGTCAAAGCAACATAGAGAATCATGTATGGGACTTTGAAGGCAAAAAAATAGAGAGAGAGAGACTTTAGGTCTGAATGAGACACAATTTATGCTTACTCAAGTCATCCTGACTTGCCTTTGACACTGTAATAACTATGATCAAGCAGTCCTCTCTGGTACCAAGGGATTCACTTAAATAATCATCACCAAGCCAGAAAGCTTTCTGGGCTGTATTTTAGAAGTGACATCCCCAATATATAAAGTCATTAATAAAACATTATTACAGCAACGTATTTAAATGTTACATCTGTTAATGGACTTGTACAACTACTCTCTATTCCCTGATCAGTCCATTCTTTCACAGAGGCTTTCACCTTCCCAGTATAGATATTTCTTTGTTGGCTTTGAATTTTATATTCATTTTCTACATTTCTTAACTCCTAACCATTGGTATTTATTGCCACCTTTTTTACTCCTATTTGCTACTTCTCTTAAACTTAATTCCTTGGGCAAGGCTTAACATGTACAAATTTTTTACTCCTCACTTTTGGGATGCTCTCCTCAGTGCCTTCAGGATTCAGTTACAGAAGTAAACAGAACCAAATTTAGTAGTAACAAATAGAGAAAAATTCATAGTTCACATTAAAATCATAGGATCATAGAACGGCCTGGGTTGAAAAGGACCACAGTGATCATCTAGTTTCAATCCCCTTGCTGTGTGCAGGGTCGCCAACCACCAGACCAGGCTGCCCAGAGCCACATCCAGCCTGGCCTTGAATGCCTCCAGGGATGGGGCATCCACAGCCTCCTTGGGCAACCTGTTCCAGTGTGTCACCACCCTCTGTGTGAAAAACTTCCTCCTAACATCTAACTTAAACCTCCCCTGTCCTAGTTTAAAAGCATTCCCCCATGTCATATCACTATCAACTCAAGTCACAAAGAAAGAAATCAAACTTTTTTTTTTTTTTAATTCCCAAATCAAACAAAATAAACTCTTACCCTTGTATGTTTCTGAGATCTTGATTCTTTAACTGGCTTTGAAGTCTCAGATTCTGTTGCACTTACGCAGCTCGCTGAACCAGCCCTCGTGGCTGCTTTGTGGGACTGACCAGACTGCTTCAATGCCATCGAAGTTAAAGAAACTGATCTTTCAGAGCGCTTCCTGGTTACCACCAGTGCATTACGACTCCCACTTCCCCCACTTGCTTGGGAGAAGAGAGAGTCTGTACTCTCTGATTTCGTTAGCCTTGATAGAAAAGAAAAAAAAAAAAAAAGAGAGAAAAAACTTTTTATTATTTATTTTTTATGATTTTATTATCTTCTTTTTATTTATTTATTTATTATTTTGTAATGAGTGTTCTGGTGGCTTTGTTTCTGCTATAGAGGCTGCTGTATGATTGCTAGGATCACTACACGTTCTTTCAAAGAGCATAACAAAACAAGATAACTAAGAAGAGTTATCTTCCTGTTGCATACACTTTGTAGAGAGCTGGAAGAGCTGAGCTTCTGGTCTTCAGTCTCAGGATAAAATAGAACTTCTTGAAACTGCCTAATTTCTCTTGCCCCTATAGGATTGTCACAATTGATCTGTAGGAACTGAGACATGATAGTACTACTGCAACAGTGTAATGCTTGATGCTTTAACGAGCGTTAGTAATTCTAAAACTTTGATTAAATCAAGTGCTAAACACAAGCACATCATTTCTAACTACTCAGTAAGCTGCAAAATCTACAGACAGCCCCAAAACTGTCTTCTTGTTAAGAAGGCTCACTGTAGCACACCTGTGGCCAGACTGCAAGGGCTATTAACTGGATTGAAGGGAAAGTGACTACTACAACACAACATGAATTCAGTAGCACCATATGTTACTTGCATCTTCAAAACAAGGACATGGTACAAACAGAAGTCTATAAATAACACTTTCAGAAAATATTTTAATAAAGCTGACAACTTAATAAGTTTGGATTTTGGTGGGTCATCTTGTACCAGAAGTCCTTTGGATTAGGAATTCAATTACAGAGTACAGTTCTTGGGTTTCTAAATGTATATAACCTATATAGTTGTTTATTTGTACTGCAACAGCTCTGTCAGCTTTGTTTAGGACAGAAACTATTTGTTGTCTTTATAAAGATACTGCAGACTTTGCAAGATACAATCACAGGTCTCTTAAAGAAAAAGTGCCTCTGATGCACGGCCTACATTAATTTAAAGCTATCAGTAGGAGACCACACTCTAGAAAAACTGAACTTATAAAAGACGACTAAACAACAAACATTGTCTAGATAGCTGCAGTAAGAAACATTTCAAGATGAAAGAAAAGATGCATTTCAGTTGAAATGACTGAAATATTTCATGTCAAGATGTATTTTATTCAGTGCGTTACCTTTTCTTGGGATGAAAGCAATCCAAGTCTTTTGATCTGCGTTTTAGCCTCAGTACCTCTGTTCTGAATTCACTTTGTAAAGACTCTCCATCGGGGACGCTTCCAGGCTCCGACGAGACTGCAGGAGATGGCAGGGGGCTCAAGACAGCCGGCAGGGGGCTCAAGACGAACGGCAGAGGGCAGCACTCCTTGGTGCAAGTGGTCTGAGTTTCGTAGCGAATAAGACGAGCTTGAAGTTCAGCATATCCCAAGTCTCTCTCTAAAGCTTTCCTGTTATCTAGACAGTATCTACAGTTTAAATTTGAGAGAAATCTGTGAGACATTCCCTGCTTTATTACAAGAAGAAAAAAGAAAAGAACAACTTACTTCTGCCTATAATATAATCTCCAGCACTTTTTTTGTCCGGACTGATGTATTGTTCTGAAAGATATCTTAAAATGGCCCCACAAATTAATACACACCTGATAGATTTATTTATATTATGTATAAGTTGATTATTTAAGACTAACTCCAATATACATAGTATTATGTACTAATTATTTGTATGTCTCTACCTTATGCTCTAGCAAATAAGATTTCTGTGGACATTAGCAGGATGTTTTTCCTTGAAGTAATTGAAGTAAGTAATGAATTGTGATGCTGACAATGGATTTTTTCTCCTTATGGTTGGCACTGTGTTACATTTAGATTGTCAGCCTGTACTTAACAGATGCTACCTCTATTAATGTATGGTGACACTCCAGTAAAGCAGCGAAGAGGAAAGCTCTAAAACCAAATACATGAAGAATCCATCACACCGTAACAGATACAGTATCTTCCAGACCTCAGACCTTGCAAGCATCCACTGAAACTTTGACACCATATAATAATGGGAACTTCAGTGAGGTTCTGCCAGAAATTATGCTGCTGTAAAACTGCATACAGTGAGTAGGAAGACTCATGTAGGAAAACTGCATGAAGTACGAGAAAGACAGCGCGTGAAGAGCGTTACAAGGGCTGTATAGCACAGACTCTTTCCTAATGACACAATTTGGAAACATAACATTTAGCACCAGTGTATGAGAGATTCCTATTTTTTGAAATGCTAACATGCAGAAACATCACTGAATGAGAACAAGCTGCCCCAGCCCTTCGCTTTCTTTATGATTAGGAGGAACAAGAGGCTTAACCCACATTCTGAGCAATGCGAGTTGTCTCAGCTGACTCTCCAAAGCAGGTAGTAATGTTTCCTATTCTCAGGAACTGTAGACAATTCTTTACTTTTATCTCCTCACACAGGGTTACATTGAATTGTTAGATCTGATTCCTCCTCTTTTTTTCAAAGTGCTTTTATATTCAGGGAGAAATTCACTTTTCTACAGAGCACTGAATCCATTTCTACAGCTGATTAAGACTTTCCACTAGAAATAAATTCATTATCTGATAAGAATAAATTCTCTTAACTCACAAATTTCAAGGTATTTAATTTTCCTTATTTATATTCCAAGTCCCCCGAGTAATCAAATCCCCTACAAAGCTAAAAATGTTTGTATCTTTAGAAGTTAAATTACCATTTTACTCGCTCTTCTTTACCTGCAATTACTTTCTCTTTGCAACATGGAATCCAAGAGCTGGCACAGCTTCACTACACTAAAAATTTGATTTAATCATAGCCACTTCTCCTGGTTTTGTTGACAAAACTCAACTTCCAAATAAAAACACAGCAGCTATGCAGATGGAAACAAATCACAACTGCACATTACAAAAAACATAACTGCTCCAAAAGACCATACTGGCTGTTTATGAGAGAGAATAGTGATAGGACAGGGAGAATGGTCTTCAACTAAGGGGAGGTTTAGATTAGATACTAGGAGGAAGTTTTTCACTCAGAAGGTGATGACACACTGGAACAGGTTGCCCAAGGAGGCTGTGGATGCCCCATCCCTGGAGGCATTCAAGGCCAGGCTGGATGTGGCTCTGGGCAGCCTGGTCTGGTGGTTGGCGACCCTGCACATAGCAGGGGGTTGAAACTAGATGATCATTGTGTCCTTTTCAACCCAGGCCATTCTATGATTCTATGACCATATGTTCCCTCTGGTACTCCTGGAAGAATCTGTTCTGCTTGTACGGCTCCATATTCTTCCCTTTCATGCTAGTTTCCACCACCTCACTCGACTACTTCCCTCTCTTATTCCCAGCACATTCCACCCTCCCTCCTCCCCCTGTGGTCTCTACCCATCATTTCTCCTATGACACGAGATAGTACAAGCTGTGCCTAATTTGAATCCTCACACGCTCCGTGCTCAGGTCAAGCAGGTCAGCAAGTGTTCCAAAGCCAATGGCCAAATGCTTTCCTCCTACAGCTGGGAGGATTAATTTCTCCTGTCTACCTAATTGTCTCCTTGTGCCTTTTGCTAATCTAAGAAAGCTAACAGGCTCATGAATTACCACTCAGAAAAATATAACAAATATTCAGTGTAGACTTAACTAAATTGTGCGTGAAGTTGATAGGAAAAAACAACAGCAGTATAATTAGTCATATGGTAATGATTTTAAATGGGAGTTTTAGAAGGAGGCAGAAATTTACATGGAGACCAACCTTGGTATCCACTTGTTACCCTCTGCATTTCTGCATATGTACAGTACATTGTGTTAAGACAAAGTTCATCCACACAGAGGAGTTATGCTGAACCATCTACTTTAGTGTTTATGTGTGTCATTTTCCTTTTCTCATCAATGAGGATATGCACAGTTTTCTAAAACATTTTTAAACAGCTACATCATATGAAGCACATCCACCTGAACCTTTGGTCAATAACAAAAGGTGGCTGTCTGGGACTGCAGATTCTTACAAGTGACTGCAGATTCTTACAAGTGACATTTGCACACTGGTGCTGTGTTCAGGTTGCTTGCACATACAGGTGGCTTTACAGTAAGTCTCATACACCTTATGACTGTTAGTCTGAAAGCACCTATAATTGAACATGGAAGTAGAAGCGACTTACAAAGCTTTCTCTGTGCTATTAGAGTGACTTGACAAGCATTAATGAGCACTCTTGCCCTTGCCAGTTCCAATTCTGAATTCAAGTTTTCAGAAACATTAATAATAAACAGCAGTAGAACATAGGAGAAAAGAACCAACCTCCACTTTCCTGAATTACCATCAAAGTAGGTGTGTTGAATTAAACTAAGGAATAAAATAAAGATAAGAAAGCTAGAAGTGGTACGTGCAAAGTTATCCCACCTAAGAGAAAGTATACAAAGCTTTCCATAATTATGTTCATGGCGCTTGAAATGTTTCTAGTTACATCTTGCCTGGAAGCTGAAAAATAGTTAGAGGAAAGTGAGAACACTTACTCAATTCCATGATAATGGCATCCAGCTGCTTTTTCAAAAGGCAGACCTCTCAGCTTCCGAGGAGTAAGCTCAGGTGTCAAAAAGAATGCATTTTCGCTGGAAGAAAAAAAGTATATGTGTATATATATCATCTATTTTAAAAAGGAGTATAGTACCAATTTTAGAAGCAGCCAGGATAAATTATACTTCCAGAAGTCAAAACAAATGCCTTGACAGAGGAAGACTAAAACAGCATATCCTGTAGTTCATTAAGCCTGTGATGCAGAGCATCAGTAGGAAATTAAGTCTTCATTGAACTAAGAATTTAAGCTCAACTACTGTCTACTAAGCTATTACTAATACACAATCTCGTAGATGTTTTTACCAGTTTAGAGATCACTGTCCCAAATAATTTTTCAATAAATCCAGGCAATTACCACATTTCACAACAAGGCACCAGAGTAGTAGGAATGTAGAACAAATCTCTGTAGTGAAAAGAACTATTAACTTCTTTCCCACATATGTAATGAAAATATTTTATAATACAGCCAAAATCCTAAATCATCTGCACTCGTTAGCTAAGAACTCTGTAGGACATTCAGTCTTCATTCTTCCAACTTCCTTGAGTTATCTGCTTAGAATAGTTTCAAAGCTCCATTAAGTATTTTACAGATGTTTTCTAAATTCACGGGGTTTTAAGGGTTGGAAGGGACCTCTGGAGATGTCAGTCCAACCCTCCTTCTAAAGAAGGTTCCCTGGAGTAGGTTGTAACCTTCCCTATCACAAGCCCTCTTAATTTATTACACATAATGAAGTTCAAAAATGTATCATGGGCAGTATCTAATGATTCCATTGTAAGTACTCTTATCCCTCTTATTAAAAAGGTCAACAAATATAACAGCAGTAACTGCAAAGATATTCTTATCTAGTGGTCTTTGATGTACCACATAAATACTAGAGGCTCGGATTCTACAGACACGTTCTGACTCTGCTGGATAGGCTGGCCTTAGTCTAACAGACGGTTAAACTCTGAAAAGTACTCCATTAACTCCTTACATTAATCTTGCTGCTGACATGGAAGTGGTTACTGCACTAATACTTAACAGCAGTCACGCTAAGAATGAATTCTTGCAAAGTAGTCAAAGTAGACAAGCTTTGTTCAAAGAGCATTTTACCAGTTAAGAATAATGATAGGAATGGGTCAGCATGTCAAGAGACACAAATAAATAGATTAAGCTATTGTCCTTTTTACATTTTAATGAGTAGCCTTCCTACATAACCTCCTTCTGACTGAATGAAAGAAATCACACTTATAAAACTGAAGTTCTGTCAGAGTAACTCCTGCTATACTAGAAATATTAGTTTGGGAAACAGGAATGTATAGTGGCAGTAGTTTGTAGACAGCCATGGCAAAGTCTAGTGGCACACTTATGCATATCAGGCACTTATTCCATTATTTAAATGCATACTAGAAACATTATCATCATCTTGGCCACTTCAGACTCAAAGAAATAAACAGCAAGGCCAGCCATAACTGTTGATTGCACTGGTAGGCATGTGATGTAAGGATACAAAGTGATGCAAGATGCATTTACGCATCTTATGCATACACAGATGATGCAAGTTCCAAACTCAAACTCTGATTCCATCACCTGATTTTTACTCACATTTTATCACTTCATCATTACACACATCCCTCTCATCAATTCTGAGTATGGGCTGCAGTGATTTGACACGGTTGAAGGAAGGGATGCCATTCAGAGGTACCTTGACAGGCTAGAAAGGTGGGCCCGGGTGAACCTGATGAGGTTCAACATGGCAAAGTGCAGAGTTTTGCACTTGGGCCAGAGGAATCCCAGGCATCCATACAGACTGGAAGGAGTGGTCCTTGAGAGCAGCCCTGTGGAGAAGGACCTGGGAGTCTTGATAGATGAAAAACTTAATATAAGCCAGCAGTGTGCCCTTGTGGCTCGGAAGGCAAATGGGATCCTGGGCTCCATCAAAAGAGGGGTGGCCAGCATGACAGGGAGGTGATTGTTCCCCTCTACTCTGCTCTTGTGAGGCCCCATCTGGAGTACTGCATCCAAATCTGGAGATCCCAGTAGAAGAAAGACAGAGACCTGTTGGAGAGGGTCCATAGGAGGGCCACGAAGATGATTGGGGGCTGGAGCACCTCCCGTATGAAGACAGGCTGAGGGAGCTGGGCTTGTTCAGCCTGGAGAAAAGAAGGCTGTGGGGTGACCTCATTGCAGCCTTTCAATACCTAAAGGGAACCTACAAACAGGAGGAGAATCTACTCTTTGAAAGGGTAGATAACGGCAGGACAAGGGGAAATGGTTTTAAGTTGAGGGAGGGGAGATTTAGGTTGGACATCAGGGGAAATTCTTTACAGAGAGAGTGGTGAAGTGTTGGAACAGGCTGCCTAGAGAGGTTGTGGATGCCCCGTCCCTGGAGATGTTCAAGGCCAGATTGGATGGGGCCCTGGGCAGCCTGGTCTAGTACTGATTGTGGAGGTTGGTGGCCCTGCATGTGGGAGGGGGGTTGGTGCTTGATGATCCTTGAGGTCCCTTCCAACCCTGGCCATTCTGTGATTCTGTGATTTTAATATGTTGGTATCATACCGTTTGGGAATATGCAGTGGCTGAAGATCACCAACTGGCAGCCCTTCTGGTGTGAAGTATTTCAGTAACTCCTTCGCATCGAGTGACGTCAGTGACTCTCGCTGGCTATCTTTATGTCCAAGCAGTTGTTCAGATGAATGTGCAAGCATAGAAGCTCTAGGGGAAAGAAAAATAAATAAATAAACCTCATCTAAGAAAATATTAGTTGTGAAGTCATTTTGTTCTGGTTAAAAAAAAACACACCAAAAAACCACCACCAAAACCATTGCTAGCCTGGAGCAATTAGACACAGTTTTTATAACTTAGTTATGAAATACAACACGAGAAGTATATTATTCATCTCTTTTTTCCATTTCTCATCCTCAAAGATCAAAATTTAATTCCCATTAAAGAAGAGACATACAATGTGCAGCACAGGAATCATAAAGACACTACTGCATACAACTCTCCACTTCGTTTTTGATGTCCTCAATCAAGTTTAGCAAAACTTTCTCTTTTCTACCGTTAAGCAACATGTTTTACACTAATCCAGAGTAAGTGTAAGATGCACTAGTTAGAAGAAATAATTATATATACGTATTTGAGAAACAAAAGCCAAAGTTTTAATAACAAATTAAGAGAAAGCAGATATCTAATGCTGAACTCCAAGTATGGCTATGTTGGGGAAAAAAGAAATAATATTTTGAATGTTTTTCTAGTATTGTTGAAGTCTATAAGCACACAGGTAATTTAACTTCAGAACTACATTACTTTACACTGTCTTTTGGTCGTGTTTTGTTAATAAAAATAATCAAAAAGAATACTACCCTAAATACTAAGAAATAACCCCAAAACAACCTTGGAAATTGACAGTGTAACAAAGACTTAGTTTTGGCCCTAAACAAAACTTTCTCTAAAAAACTATCAACGTATTTGAAAACAGGATACAAAACGGCCATGGATGTATACAGTTCCTCTAGACTGATGTTCAATGTCCACTACAGAGAAAACTCTTCAATATTTAACCATTACCTCATTTTTTGTTTGATTTTTTCGAAGTTTTCCAAATTCTGAAGAACATGTCTTTCCGGCCATTCCAATGGATTTGGCTCCACTAAATCTGATTCTGCAAAAAACAAACAAACAAAAATATTACGAAAGCAAAACAATTACAGCTTATTCATAAGAAGAAGGATGTAGTTTGTCTCCAAATGCAAGGGCATTTATACAAGCAGCCACTGAAATATTTGATCTGTGACTCTCAAGATTGTTTTTTCTGACCAGCAGACTTGTTGTCAATTACGACACTACATATATGCACATAAACTTTACAGGAATACATGTGAACTTTATGGGACCTAACTCAACAAAACTGGACACAGAGCAACCAAAGACCTTACAGGAAAGCTGGGGAGGGACTTTTTATAAGGGCAGGCAGCGACAGGATGAGGGGAAATGGTTTTAAACTGGAAGAGGGTAGTTTTAGACTAGTAGGTAGATTTAGATTTAGTAGGAAGAAATTCTTTACTGTGAAGATGGTGACACACTGGAACATGTTGCCCAGTGAAACACATCAATAGAAATCTAAATAAAGATACTTACCAGAAGCCACTGTACATGAACTAGTTTTATTGTCAGTCTTCTGCTGAACAGGTTCAGGAACATCAGTGTTCCACAGGTCCAAGAAGCATTCTCTTGTAAGTTCTAACAAGCTTTTGAGCTCATCAGTAGAAATAACTGGAGGCTGCTCAGTCAATTTCTTTCTCTCTGTTAAAAAAAAGAAAAAAAGAAAAAAGAAAAAAGAAAAGAAATAAAGAATTAGGAAACAGCCTAATTTTGGTAAATGTGTATTGCTGAGTACGTCCAAGTCTGAATGCCTCAGAGATCTGGACTTGCCAATCTTAGAGGAAAAGCTCCAGTCCTCTTACAGGACACTCACACCCATCATTGCCATTTGTACTGCCATTGTAAGAGTACAAATCCTGCTTTCCCTAAGCTGGTATTATGTTAATACACAGTAAGTTCTGCTAGGGGAAAAAAAAAAAAAAAGGAAGAAAAACAACAAAACAAAGCACAGAAAACGCTAGTTTCAGAATTTTTCTGTGATAAATATGCTCAAACTTTCCAAGTATTAGTGTATCAAAGACCCACCAAATTAAAGTTCAGCATTCTCTTTTCCCCAGTATTTAAATAATTATTTGACATATAATCATAGATATACCAAAGAAAGTTTCTTTACAACTTCATTTTTTTTTTTCTTCACAAACTGGCCAGCTCCCCTAGTTTTGAAAGGTGAGCTTACAAAACTGAGGAGCTAAAGTGAGATCACATTCAGTTTGAAAGAAAAGACTTCTTAGATACTAGTTTGAGAATTCAAGTGCTTTCTCCGTTACTTACTGAGATACTCCTTCAAGGCAGATGCCTGGAGATGTGACAGTTTCTTTTCTCTCTGTACAATTTGCTTTCCACAAAACCGTGGCAGAGACTCAATAAAGTCATCAGTAGGAAAGCCTACACAGGTAAGCAGAAACCCATTAACAAGAATCTATTTGGGAGATACTGGGTCATTACTTCTTAAAAAGGGATAGCAAGACAAAACAAACACACCAGATATACAAATTTCAAGTTCAAGGGAAACAAATAGACTAATAAATCTGAGTGAAGAAAAAGCACGAAATTCATTTAACACACTAAGGGGATACCTGGAATAGGTGACTGGCCATTAGTTCTGCCTTTCTATACAAAACCAAAATAACGATAATGCAGATGCAGTTAGTATGATAGCCATTTAAAGAACATAAAAAGATCATTACTTTGATACTAGGGAAGAAAAGTTTTCTCCCAACACATGGTCAAGGACTTTCAGTCTTCTGACACCTAGTAATGGGATTTTAATTAGGACAAATGGTAAGCAGCCAGTCATATCCCACACAGATTTGTCTGGATAAGAAGGAAATAAAAGGATGCAGGTCACTGTGCTCTTTTTTTTGTTGGTTACTGAGAGCAAACAAATGAATTCACATAGATATCTTGTAGCAACAACAGGACAACTATTGTAAGATAACTGATACATGGTTTTATCTAGTGAAGCAGCTGATCACCTCCTAGCTCATATGCTAACCATTCTGAGTTAATATTTACTTCTGCCAATTGAGTTTCATGAGTGTGTTCGGTCAACTTGCCTCCCTGCCTTGTGGTTTTTATTTTAAATGAGAGAAATAGGCTTATCGATAATAACCAATTGGATTTTAGGCATCAACCTTTAGACCAACAATGATATATCTTAAAGTTTTTGTATATTTGATTTGCATGCACTTCACCTTGACTTCCCCATTTGCATTGCTACAACTACTGAAAGTTATGAGAAATGACTGACTACAACTCCAAGAAGTTGATTTACAAAATATAGTAATAGTAAGTTGTCTGAATAAACTACATTTTTTTCTTAATCACTTTGAAAAAAAGCACAGACTTATTCAAAGTGTATAATGTTTCTTCCCTTTAAGACAGACCAGAACAAATAAAGTGAGCACATAATGTGTTAGTAGCATTTGTTGCCTGACTTATAACACAAATAAATAAATAAAGCTTACTTGACTCTGTTTCTCCTACATTTGTCTTCAGCATTCTATTTACAGTGGCAAGAGTGGCCATACCATTGATTTGGGTAGCAGAATGAATCAAGGTTGCTTTACATCCTCCTGAACCGTTGCCTTGTAGCAAGAAATAGTATCGGCAAGAATCTCCTTTCAGATCAATTTCTGGAACTTAAAAAATAGCAAGACATAAGATGGCTCCCTCGGAGTGTTCATGTTGTTTAAAGTAAGATACAATCAAAATTCTCTCATTTGCTCTTTTTTTGTGAGAAATCTCACTAACATCTTTTTAAGAAATACAGGAACTATAGCTGATATTTATCACAGAATGGCCAGGGTTGGAAGGGACCTCAAGGATCATCAAGCACCAACCCCCCTGCCACATGCAGGGCCACCAACCTCCACAATCAGTACTAGACCAGGCTGCCCTGGGCCCCATCCAATCTGGCTTTGAACACTTCCAGGGACAGGGCATCCACAACCTCTCTGGGCAGCCTGTTCCAGCACCACTCTCTCTGTAAAGAACTTCCCCCTGACATCCAACCTAAATCTCCCCTCCCTCAACTTAAAACCATTTCCCCTTGTCCTGCCGTTATCTACCCTTTCAAAGAGTTGATTCCCCTCCTGTTTGTAGGTTCACTTTAGGTATCTGAAATGCTGCAATGAGGTCACCCCGCAGCCTTCTTTTCTCCAGGCTGAACAAGCCCAGCTCCCTCAGCCTGTCTTCATACACATTGAAGATCATGAAAAATAAACGAGCTACAGAAGCAAAGATGAGTTAGACTATGTGGCTGGCTTAAAGCTAGCACATTACCTGCATGGAAATTAGCCTGGAGCAGCTTTGTAATGCAGGCTACAAAGTATATCTGGCAACTCCGACCATCAAACTTCCCTTTTAATAAGCTCTGTTAAAGAAGTCTCTCTCCAAAGATAAATTTCTACCATGAAACAATGTACTGTTGAGCAATCAGCCAGTCAGGTATGTAATGATTAGTGAAGGGTACCTAAAAGTGCCTGTGCAGTGATGAGGGAACTATGGAATTATGGAATGATCAGGCACTTTTGCCTACGCTGGTTGACACAATGCTAAGTGTTCACTGGAAGAACAAACATCTGTAGAATACTGTACACTCTCTTCCCAAGAAAGCACAAATGTTGAATACACACACCCATACCAAAATATACCTATAGCATCTTTGTTTTACTTACCAGTAATGACCTTAGGTTTCCTAGCCATATATTCCTTCCACTTCTTTGTACTCAGCTGGGCAGGGGATGGGATCGCTACGCTGCTTACATTGCATGCTAATGAAACTAAAGCTCCCACCTAAATAATAAAGCAAATATAACAGAAGAAATATTACTGAAACCTACTTTACATTTCATTTTTGAGCTACCAGTTTGGCATCATTTCAAAGGTGCTTCAATTAAAAAGCAAGCACATTTACTCAACGCTTCTTTCCTTCACCTCAATTGACTCTTTCACACACAAGCAGTAAAAACTGAGCTGTTTTTTTCTCCAGCTGAGATAAATAACTACTGAATTTCTTATTTCATACATCAAATAGGCATTCCCAAATCTTTCAATAATCTCGCTATAAACAATTCTGTAAAGAAAGATCTAGAATGAACAGGACTCTAAGAAACAGTTGGAATCAGCTACCCTGCATTAACTTGAAAACTGCGTGTGTTTTTCCTCCTTTCAAATTTCCCTTCACAAACAAGCAGATGAAACTATTTACTAAGGTATTTCTGGTACAGTGTTAGAAAAAGAACTTCTTTCTCACAGAGCATAATGGAGAACAGAATGACAGGTTAGAAAAAAAGTTACTGAAAACCTAGGTAAAGCAAATGAAGATTAAATATACTGCTGGGTAATAGAACAATAGCTGTGCAGTAAATAAAGAATATAATTTAGTTATTATATCTCTATCAGCATTTTTACATTACAAGTTGTTCTGACTGGCATAACTTTAATCTTTAAATCTTGTTTAATCAAATCTACCCTGCTTTAAGCATTCAGGGAAAACATCTTTAAACTAATACTGTGGCTGTAAATAAACGTACTATAATATCCAGGAAAAAAAATAGGCTTGTAAATGTTTCAAGAACTCTTTTCATTAAAAATCAAAACAGAAATGCAGAATACAGTCTTGCAAAATGGGATATCCTACATTTCAGAAAAGCTAGATGCATTTCATAAGCTGTATATAGAATTGTCTTTTGCTAAAAAGTAATTGAATTGTGATAATCTGGAAATATCTGTTGTTGATACAATTAAAAGCAACAAAATATTTTAGAAGAATGAAATTCAGCTAAAGTAAAGAGAAAAACATGCAGCGGACTTACAGATTGCCAGATCCTGTACAAGAATGCACTTTTTAAAGAGACATCTCTCCTAGAATTTTGAAGGAGCCTACTCAGAGATTAGCTATTGTTCATAATTGTTCATAAAAGATAGAAGAAAATATATTGTGTTTTCACTTTCCTGCTAAACTTACATAACAGGAAGCCTTACCTTCCCAGAGAGAGAAGAAATCTGATCCAAAAGCAGCGCAGACATCTGTTTTCTACCCTTTCTTGCCAGGCTCCTGAACAGAACAGTTTAAGGAACCTCATTGTCACAAAAAACTGCATTCATTTGGATTTTATAAATCACATTATCGTTATATTTCAAGTAAGTACTGCAGAAGTCTAATAGATGATACTCCAGTACTGCAAAATATGTGAAAACTTATCAAAGCAGTACAGTTAGAAATGTTAGATGATGAAATACACAGAGGACATATTTAACATAGGCAGCCATCAATAGATAATCATATATTCAAAACCTTGGCAAGCCTAAACTACGTAGCCTGTATCTTGGCAGCCACTTTATGTAGTTTAGAACTAGTCTTGGTATCATAGATTCAAATCAACATGAATACACCCTGAAATCTCTGCAGCATATGCAACACAGAATTCTTCTGCCATACCTTGTCACAGGTTCTGCATCTATACAATAAAACACAATTTATGAAAAAATGTTCTAAACTTAGAAGGACACTATATACATTAATGAGAAGGCTTGGGTTTGTTTTTTTTTTTTTAAACTCTGCACTTACACAGCAACAAATACTGCATGCCAATAAACCCACACATATTTATTACATTTACACGCAGAATCCTAGAATGGTTTGGGTTGAAGGGTCCTTTAAGATCATCTAGCTCCTACCCCCTTGCTACAGGCAGGGACAACTCCCTCTTGACCAGGTTGCTCAGAGCCCCATCCAGCCTGAGAATCAATAAGTATTTTTCTATTCTTCCTCACATATATCCACAAGTAGCCAAAATATATGTGCAAGAATGTAAAAACCAGTTACTTATTGTTACTGCATTTTAAATTTCAACATATGAAAAAATCTTGTGAAGATACACTGTCTGACTATTTCAGCATACTGGTGTGGAATGAGTCCTTGCTGTTCTTCAAATGTTATATGCACACTTAACTTCCAATTGTGTTTTTTTCTGCTATAAACCATTATCATTAGCAACTCAGAACCTTAAAGGATACAGCTCAAATTTCAGATCTGAGATAAAAAAGGGGGGGAGTTCAGAGAGGTCAACCATCCGTAAAAACTCTAATGCAGGACCATAGTAATGAAAAACCTGAAAAGAGATCAAACAGAGAATTCATAACACCATGTATAACATGATCTCACTCAGTAAAGTTTTTCCAAGTGCTCTGCTGGAGGCATTTGCCTTACAGATACACCTGAAAAAAGCAGAAGAAATAAAAAGAGAAAAATAGTTCACAATATCATATTAAATAGAATTATATAAAAACAAGGAAGGTATTTAGTATTGTTTACTAAGACTCACTTCCTAGAATGTTCATCACATGCCTCAAAAAGTTAAATTAACACAGAATTTAAAAATAAATTAAGCACTGAGATTGAGCTAAGTTTCAACTTCCACTCTAAAGTAATTTTGGTACCACATGCTTCAGAGCAAACACGAAATCTTAAGGGCCTGTTTTCTGTGCAGACATGAAATGAGAAGTATTCTTCAATCTTACGCAATCCTTAGTTTTGTGTTTGGTTTTCAATTCTGACTAAATTTCCCCAGTTACCAATTTTCTCAAGCAGGTAAATCAGATGAATTCTGCTGGCTCAAAGAAACATCAAGAATACAACCTACCTCTGGCAAAGCATCAGAATTCATACATCGTTGCTCTTCCTTAACAGCAAAGCAAGAATTTACATGTGAAGTGCTGAGAGGTTTTGCTGAAGTGCTCTTCATACAAAATTCTGGAAAGCTAACTTCTGATGCAAACTAAAAAAGAGACAATAGCAATACATGTATCTCATTGAATTTTCTTTTAAGCAGTTACTATGTGATTTCTCTCCATCATACCCATGAGTTGAAGTGATAACACTGGATTTAGGTAACCAGTTACTAAACTCAAAAACCTTCATACTGAAAACGTAAATGGGTATCTTCCATCACCAATCTTTCAGTCTCTGCAGAAACATTAGATGTGTTCTTCCAATAATGACTTACATAGTTACATGGTAATGATTTGTATCTGCCACAAATTAATCTCATTGGGAACAAGAAGTTCCCAGGCAAGTATTTCAGAGGAGAGTGACTCAGTTTCTCAAATTCACATCCAAATGCCTTCATCCTGTTCAGCCTTTTATCAAGCTAAGAAAGTAAGCAGTTCCCACCACTAGCAAGACACTGAACCAAATATCAAAAAACTTTATATCTTTGAATTATGTTTTTTAAACCAAATTTGGCTTCAAGCATAAAATGCAGTGTACTACACATATGCATAAATGCTTAAAAAAAAACAATAACTGAAGCTATTTTACCTTTCTTTCCCATATCTGAATCTTTCCCCTCCAGAGTTCTTTTAAATCGATAACATCCATGACATTATCTGAAGAGACAAAGTCTGCTGATAGGTAGTCTGCAATCTTTTGCCAGCTATTTTAAGAATAAGGAAGAATTAATCTTTGTGAATTTACTGTTACACGTTAACACAAAATTGTTGATTATGATTGAATTCTAGCTCAGGCTCTGTAAATTAAGTGGCTCATGAACACTGCAGCAAAGAACTTTGTCAGACAACAAAAAACACTTGCAATGGCAAGGTGCAGGGTGGCTGTCAGAAGCTGGAGTAGACCCAAAATCATACCCTTTAGAATCACTTGTTGCAATGGTGATTTGCGCAGAGTGCCATTCTCTCAGGTGTTTCAGGGCACCAATCACAGGTAAGCAGTCTTTTAACTTGGGTGCATCTCCTTCGACAGCCTGTATTATTATATCCACCATTGCTCTTCCTGTAGAAACAGTCATATATAACTCCAAGTACCACTATTCAGTAAATCGTTCAGTCATTTAAAGATAGGAAAGTACTGATCATCACCAGCAGAGCTGATATGGCCTTAATGATCAACCTTAATATTTCAGCAAGACTTAAAATACTTCTCATACATTTTAGCTCACCTCTTCCTGCTACCCTTTGATTACAGAAACTCAAGTTAAATATTTTGCCATCCACTCACTCACCAGTTTCCTATTTCTCCTGTCTCACTGAATGCTGTACAGATCAGTCCTCTATCCCTGTCTCCAGTATAACTGCACTATGTTGACCTTCTTTCAACATCTACTTATTTCTCATTCCTTCCTATTCCAACTCAGCTACTGTTATACTAGATTATCCTAACATAGAAGGTTGTGTGCATCTCCACTTCGTAAAATTTGAACCCAACAGCTCTCATCTATGCTCCTCACAGCTTCTTGTCACACGCACAACCAGCCAGCTGTAATACCATCAGCTGCAAGTCTGATACGTCAACACCTTCAATTTTTCTTTAACAAAAGAACTTCCTATAGTTGCGAGTTTTGTATTGCCTACTGTTTCTATTTCAGTGCTCTTTCATATGGAAAAAGCAGCTATATAAATAACTACCTTAATCTCTACTGCTGTTTCTTTTTAAGAAACAGCAAACTACTCCCTAAGCTGATCTGCAAGACCAAATCATAGTCTTTTTCCTTAAACCATTTGCAAGACTTGCATGCAAGTTAATTCAACTAGCAAACTCAAAGATTGCTCTTTTAAGAGAGCTTACCTGGGGCAGGCAGTCTGTCAGCCAACTGATGCAGACTTTCCGCAGCTTCATCATAAACACTGCAAATGAAGAGCAACACGGTTGGAAACTAAATATAATCAATTAGAAACAAGAAATTACAAGAAGTTAGATATTTACATCGAGTAGTATTCATGTCTTTAAAATTCTACACAAGCACAATGCCTAGGCAATGAGCTATACTTATTTTCCCTTTTACTGAGGCAGAAGTAAACTCAAAACAATCTGCAGTGAAACTGGAAATAGTATTTCAGTCTGCTTTCTCATGTAACCATCAGCTGTTAGAATCTTGCTCTGCTATACTACAAAAATCATCCATAGGTTAAAACAAACAAACAAAAAAAAAAACAATTAAGGCAATGCAAAAGTAGAAGTACTTCCACTTGTAGGAGGGGATTGTTCATAGTTAACAACAGCTTTGGTAATAACTTGTTGAATTTTCTTGATTCCTTTGGGTTATTACTGTTAAATGAAAGGTCACTATACTGCAGTAAAGATAATAATATGCATACTCAGCCATAGACAGTGACTCTCTACTGTTATTGTCATCTTCCTCAAAGTTCTGTATGTTTCCCAGACACTTCTCAATAGTTGTTTGGAGAGAGTCTTCATTTTTCTGCGTGTCAGAATTTATTTCCTCCCAGTCAGAACTGCAGAACTAATAAGGAGAACTCTGAGCATCACAGTTTCAACTTACACTAGAGACAGGTAGAGTTGGGGAACTTAACGTTCTAAAAAAATCACCTACCTGATAATAACCACCTATAACATGACTTGCAAAGTACCATTTCTTTATGCCTGGAATACCAGCCACCGAACATGCTGAAAAGAGAAAATGGTTATTTAAAACAATCCACTACAATCTCTTCTTCCTATTACAATGAGGCCTTTCTACTGAAAGACCCTACGTAAGTCATTCAGTGTGTCACAGAAGCTTAAGCTCTGCTTTCCTTTGGCATCATATTTAAGGTCTAAACATATTAAAGCAAAACTAAGTGTTTAAGTATTAATGTTCCTACAATTAATAAAAATTAATAAAGTTTTTGTCCTCTTCTCCATTCTGGGCAGTACTGCCATCCATTTGCAGAAGCTGTTTCTTACCTGAACCAAATCATAAGATTCATAAATACAGTAATTACAGTTCACACAGTGAATTAATCCAACAAACATTGCTTCCACTGAAAAAAAATTGGAAAACATCACAAGAGTAATGAGAAATGTTAGCAGGACAATATCCTGCTGCCAACTGGTATGAGAAAGAAGACCTTTTCTATTCCTTTTTGTTCTTAAGGTGGACTTAAATCTGTCAAAACGTTCAAAACTCTTCTCTTTCTCAGGCACAGTATATATAATCACTTGCTAACAGTGGAGCCGCTCTAGTCAAATCAGTTCTCTGTAGAAATGGAAGCAGCAAAAACAGCCCTGCCTACAGTTTTCAGCATACTGCAAAAACTCAATTATTTTAAGTTTTTGGTTTCTTTAACCTAGATCATTATTTTTTCTTAGGCAGATTCCTCGACATCATTTGCCTTATGTTACTGTAAATTACTTACCTGGAAATGTCATTGTATCTGTTTTGATAGATGAATTACATTTTTCTTTCAGGAGCTTATAGACATTTGCAACAGTCACAGCTGGGGAAAAAAAAAAAAAATGTTATTTTCAAATCTGATGAATTTCAAAAGTTAAGACTTTGCTGCAAATGCAGCTTGAAGTTCAGTTTAATATTAAGTAAGTTAAAAATCGCCAAGTACAGGTCTGCAACGGTTTAGAAAGCCAAACTTTGTGAAGGGACTCTGTGGGGACGGTGACCCCAGCCCTCCCTTGGTGATGCTGTGCCAGGGCATCACCGCTCGTTCTGAGAAGGAATTTCTGCAACCTAAGAAAAGGTCCTGGCAGCACCGCGCTGAACACGAGCCAGCAGCGCGCCCTCGCAGCAAAGAGCCACAGAGTCCCGAGGAGGACGACCCACGCCCCGCAGCAATGCAGCACTACCTACCTGCTCCAGCGCCGGCTCCGTGCTCGGCGCCGCCCGCCGCAGCCCCGCAGCCGAGGAGCAGCACGTAGCGCTCCATGGCCGCCGAGGACGAACGGCCCGCGCAGCCGCCCGCGCTCCGCCCCTCACGGCGCCGCGCTTCCGCTTCCCGGTGCGGGGCGGCGGGGCTCCGCTCCGCTTCCCGTTCCCCCGGCCATGGCCAGCTACACCAAGGCGGCTCAGGTGAGCGCGGCCCCGGGGGCCTCGGCGGGACTGATTTCTGGCAGCGCGTTCTTTTCTTGCGTTAACTACCGCTCTTCTTTATCTCCAGCAATGGGCTACTTTTGCCAGAGCGTGGTACCTCCTCGATGCGAAGATGCAACCACCGGGAAAAATAGCAGCCGTGACCGTAAGAAGGCTGGAAGGCAGGCACAAGCCTATTTACCACGCGCTCAGTGAGTATTGCGGTACTGGAACCAGCAGCAGTGCCCTGCTGTGCCCTGCTGAGCTGTGCAGGCGGCGGAGCGCTGGCACGGGCTGCCCAAGGGCTGTGCCATCTCCTCCTTGGGCATCTTCAGAAGCCGCCTGGATGTGGCCCCGTGCTCTGCGTGTGCCTGCCTGCACAGATGGACACCGATGTCCCTCGGCTGTTCTGTGGTCGCAGGACCTGTCTGATTTTTGAGGCAGGAGATGTAATTATTGTTGGAAGAAATCTTGATCGGATGAAGAAGTTGTTTTGCCTATCAGTAGATGAGAAAATTCAGTAGCATGTGTCATCTTGATCATCTTGTAATACCATCGCAGATGTCACACAATGAGAAGCATTTTATAGATAATATATGTATCTAAAGGAAGAAGATCCCTTTTCAGAATGCTGAGATTGTTGGCACGATGTTTCCTGTAGAACTCGAGCAGAATCTCTAGCAGAGATTACTGAAGCAGAAGGAAAGCATTAAGCTTTACTCATATACATGAAACATGCACACTAAGGTGATGCTTGACCCAGTTTTCATAATAACGGGTAGCATTTGTAGACTTCTAAAGATAAGTTTTAATACCCAAGTTCTGCAGTTGCAAAATGTGTTGTATCCACGAGATGTCACTGGAGTGTAAAGCTGTCAGAAAAGTAAAGCAAGCACTGAGGGAAAATAGTTTTGGTTGCCCTGTGGGAAAGATCTTGGATAGTCTTACGTTCATGAAGCTTTGAAATCCTGGAAAGTCATTTCAAGGTTAACTCTGTTTGATCTGAAGTATTCCATCAGTCAGTACCAAACATGTTACACCTGAGACTGCTGCAAGTGGGAGACATCTGATTCTCTCTAAGAGCAAAGTGAAATTGTGGTGTGTGTGCTTGACACTTTTTGATACTTCAGAGGGAAAAACAAGAGAAATAGTGCCTGTGAGATAACTGGTTTTTTTTAGAAGAACGTTGTGGAGATTTTTTGTGGTGGGTTTTTGGTCATGTGTGATTTGTGGTGGTGATGGTGTTGGTAGTTGTTTTTAACTTGTTATCACCTTTCCATAAAATCATTATTAGTGTTCTGAAAGATGTCTGGAGCTGTGACTAAGCTGTGAGGAGGGAAAGAAAGAAATCTGATTTTGTGTACGTTTCTTTTCTGTTTTAGAGATAATTTTTCCTTATTCTCCAAAATACTGTATTTTTAAATGCTGATAGACCATCTGCCTTAAGAAAGGTGATACAACCATGTTCATGGGGTTTGAATGTGGATTTCTTGAATTCTTCTGCACTTTCCTTTGCATCCTGTCTTTGTGAATATGGAACTAAAATTAGTGGGCCAGTTTTTTCAGGTGTTGGTCAGTCTCGTTCTTTGTACTGAATTGTGGGCCAGTGTAAGTGAGCCACTTCTGTTGTTTGGGCAGGGTTTGTTGTTCAGGTAACTGTTGTGTGCATTCTCAAAGGAGAAGACCAAGCTTGATGGAAATGTCCCAAAAGCCACATCTGGCCTAGATCTGGCTTCAAACAGCTGGAAGCAGTAGCTACAACTTGTCTGATAAAGAAAGCACTGGCAAGTAGCTTGTCAGTCATGTGGGCTAACAGTGCAAGATGCCTGCATTCAAACACAGCTTAATCCATTATTAAAATATAGGAGGAGAAATGCACGATCTGGAGCATTTTGTTGTGAGATAGAAATTGTGGAAACTTACAAACATTCAGTGATACAGAATGGAATTACTGGACAGCCTTATTTCATCTGAAGAAGTGCAATGTGTATGTTGTGTGTAACCAATAGAATATTTCTCAGAAATAGGATGCAGTTGAACTGTGTTTGTGCAGGTAGTAAATGTTTTTGCTTTCTCCTAAGAGCAGGTGCCCCTGAGGTGATGGGAGCAACACTGTCAAAGGACAAGTAGCTAATAATGTATTAATTCAAAATTTTGAAGGAGAAAGTAGCAATCCATGATTTTTTTATCAGCTTTAAAATGACAGGTTACAGTCATTATTCAGATAGGTGTTGATATCCTGGTTAGATTTTAGCTTGGCTGTTGCAGCCTCTTTGCATCTCACAAATGAGCTCTAAGCTGTAATCACTGAGTAGAACTATGTTACTCACTGAAAGAGTTCAGTCCTCTGGTAAACGTTGGTACTGTTTGTATCTCGTGTTTTTGAAATAGAGGCTCACATATAACACAGCACGTTGAATAAAATAGAATGTTTGCTTGTAAGGCAGACAACTGGATCATAAGTAAGTAGTTGGAATGGTTTGATTATCCAGCTTGATGATATTTTACCTACTCACCTTCCTTCTAATCTGACATTCCTAAGAAAAATAGTAATTAAGTTTAATATTAAAGCATAGTTTTGAATGGAGTCACTTAAACTCAGATCTTCTCAGTTTGAGTTTTATGGAATGTGCTATACATACGTAGTACCACACATGTACACAATTTATAATACACTATTTAAAATATTTCTACTGATTACCTTACAGATGACTGCGGAGATCATGTTGTCATAATAAATACAAGACATATTGCCTTTTCTGGTAATAAATGGGAACAGAAAGTATACTCCTCACATACTGGGTAAGTGTTAAGTTACTTTAAAGTAAACCTTCAGGTGAGCTAACTGTACACTTCTGACATATGTTGTGCTAGAGCAAGTTCTTAGCAGGTTGGTTCAAAATGGAATTCCTGCTTACGTTATGTTCTGTTTGCACGGTGTATAAAATGATGCATGCCTTTTTTTGTAGTGTGTTGATTGAGATGGCAGTGGAGCAAATTTACAGATTTGGTGAACTAGATTATTTTCTGTGGAGGTGAATCCACATGTCAGAACTTCACTATTTACTAAACAATAAAAGACTTTCCTATTGGCACTGAACATTTGAGGTATATTTACAGATACCAGCTTCAACTTCACTGTCCTACTTAACAGCAGATACAAAGTTTGTATCTGCTATAATCCAGTAAGAAATTAGGTACTCTGGAGGTATACTGGCATATAACATATTATCTGGCAGACATAACTTCTTCATAGATAAAAATGTAATGAGCTATTACAGCATGGCTCAGTTCAGTCAAATAAGAACAGTTGCTCTTCAGTGACAACACTCGATTCCCCAGGCATTAAAATGAATCCAATGTGCTTAAATGTGAATTAGCACAACTATGCCATATCAGTAAGACTTAAAATAGGTGGGCTAGTTGCAAGTCTTGATAGTCTTGAAATATTTCCAGATTTTGCATATCTTACCCCAATTCTGGGGCATTACAGTATTCTGTAACTGTGATAATTTATTTAACAAGCAGTCTTTAGAACACATCCATCTGCTCATGCAACACTACCTTTTAATATTCAAGTGAATGAATGGAAAAGTGCAAATGGAATTAAACTTAGAAAGATTGTGTTCTACTGAGTATCATAGAATCATAGAATGGCTTGGGTTGGAAGGGACCCCAGGGATCATCAGTTCCAACCTCCCTGCTACAGGCAAGGCCACCAACCTCCAAACCTGGTACTAGATCAGGTTGCACAGGGCCCCATCCAATCTGGTCTTGAATGCTTCTAGAGATGAAGCATCCACAGCCTCACCAGAATGTCAAATAAAGAATAGCTGTTAGTTGTTGGCCTTGTGAAAGTAACTTCTCGCTTAGTGGGCTTATGATAAGACATAATTTTACACCATTGTTCAAAGTTCTTTTGCTATTCCACTTTGCTAATCAAATTTTTTAAAAAGTAAAATATTCAGAGTGACATGAGGGAGAGAAAGAGAGTGACATTGCAGCAGGAGGATTTAGGTGGGTTATTAGGAGGAGTTTCTTCACAGGAAGGGTTGTCAAGCATTGGAAGGGGCTGCCCAGGGAGTGGTGGAGTCCCCATCCCTGGAGGTGTCTCTGAAATGTGTGGATGTGGCACTAAGGGACGTGGTTTAGTGATGAAACTCAGTAGGTCAGGTTGGTGGTTGGACGCGGTGATCTTTAAGGTCTTTTGTGACATAGGCGATTCTGTGATTCTAAGATACTGAGGTATTTGTGTTAATGGCATGATTGAGCAAGTAGGGCTGAGCTTGTATGTTTCTTCTGTTTTTCTAGTTATCCTGGTGGTTTCAAACAGGTGACAGCAACTCAGCTCCATTTGAAAGATCCAACTGCTGTAAGCATTTTTCTCTTTCATTTGTAAAGTACATCTGATTTCATTTTAGTATTTCCCTTAAGCAAAAGAAGTTGTACTTAACCTGTATATAGTTAGAACATGTTATGACTGGAGCTTAGCTTATGACACTGTTTCTGTGAACAGCATGTTTTAGGGTCAGATTCCAAGTTGTGCATTTTCATGATTCTTCCACGCTGTCCAAATGAGCAAATCAGACTTTGCTTTGAGTTTCAGAGGTCTGACCTTTCTCATTGTCCAAGTGACTCAGATTAGACTGAACTAAGCAGTACTTGAGATTAACAACCCTAGCAGTTTAAGAGCCATTGGGAATAAAGCTAATATTAAAAAATGTTAGAAAATACATCTGCCCCTTTCTCCCATGGGTTTTGTTAAATGATTTTTTTTAGTATCTGCAGTGCTCTGTATTTCTGGTCTGTGAGAGAATTGGAAAAGCTGGTTAGTAAAGAAGATCAATGTAAATGTCTGTATTTGG